ACAGCGAAAAAAGATGAGTACTCACTTCGTGAACAATGAAATCCTCTAAAAAGACACCCCCAAAGCTCACCGCAGTTTACTTTGGCAGAACGAAAGTAATCTGTGATACGTCTACCAGTTGAAGTCGACCTTATGTTCCAGCATCTATGAAGCGCACAATTTTCGAGAAGCTGCATGATCTCTCACATTTCGGGGTCAGTGCTGCTACCTAGCTGCTGAAAGAGAGATTTATATGGCCAAACATAAACAGCAATTATAAGAAGTGGATGCGAAACTGTTTGTCTTGTCAAAGAATCAAGATTCATGGTTATACCAATGCGCCGTTTAGTAGTTTTCCTAACCTCGACTCCAGATCTGACTACACACATATAGATATCGTTAGTCCACTGTCTCCTTCCAGTCGTTTCATCCACATTTCCACTTTTATCGATAGATGCACAAGTAAGCCAGTAGCAGTTTCACTAGCAGAAGTATCTACCGAAACAGTTGCTGAAGCCATGGTCGAAAACTGGATAGCGAACTTTGGTCTTCCATCCATTGTCACTACAGACATAGGTGCACAGTTCGAAGGCCGTCTTTTCAACAGCTCGCCGAGTGATTTGGAATTAAACGAATACGAAAGACCTCTCAATCGAGCGCAAACTTTCAGAAAGCACTAAATTTTACGCTATCCTGTTTGATTTCGGTTCCTGTTGTGTTATACACTCCGAAAGTCTATAGTTTAAATGTTATTCAGATTATTCTGGTCGAATTTAGTTTTCTTTATACTTTTGAATCTATTTACCCACTGGAAGTTTGTTCTCATAACATTATAGTCATTGTTTGGTAGATATTCAGAATACTGTTAGTACGTATGATGGGCAGCGGAACAACCCCCACCATGAAATCTGTTTATCATCGCAAAGTCGGTACCTCGTATCTGTTAATACCAAAATAATGCTGTACTTACTGTCTACTTTTGAGTTTTATAAATTTTCAAACCCTTATTAATCGATTGAGTGCTAATGATTGTAAGCTCCTGTGTGTCTTACTCTGTACCTGTATATCATCTTTATTCTTACATTCCTTACCTTATCAGTAAGGCTAGTACAATATGGTATAGTAGTGAGTAGAACTACTTCCTTTGTATTGGGTAGGCCCAACGTGATCTGTTTGCCTTATCTGTAGCGTGACGTTTCAATATTTTCACTTGTTCATATTGATAATTTTGTTTTTTATCTTCTGCATGTGGGGTGATTACTCTGTTTTGCTAAGTTTGTGTTTATATTTGTACTGTTTCATCACTGCGTTTCTGTATGGTATTAACTTATCTCATTGGTGGCTGAAAACACCTTCCTGCACAGATGGCAGTTATCCTGCGGCTTCCGACTTTATGGACACATTGTTTTTTACATAGTTCAGTCATGTTGGGGGTTCAGTATGCTCTAAGGCATATCCACTCACAAGAAACTTAGGCTAACCTTTTTTAATTGCGAGCGTCCCCAAAGAATTCGTGGAGGAAGTTCCGGCTGTTCTTGACATTCCCTCCCCAAAGCTGTATGGTCGTCCCAAAGTTGCCTTAATCAAGAGAGTTGCACCGGCAGATCAACAAAAGGTTTCAGAACTCTTTCGTAATGTTAACCTTGGAGATCGTAAGCCCACTCAAATGCTCCGGCAAACGAAACAGCTAGTTGCTGATTTCAAGATCGATGACGCCTTCCTTAAGCAGGTTTGGCTTCAAAGATTGCTTCAGTCAGTGAAGGGTTATCAGAGGCGATCGACAGGGATGTAGAGGCCACTAATCCAAGCGCGGGCATTTTGACCGCAATACCTGATGGTCCTGCCCAGTTAAAGGGTCCTTCCACTGACGAGTCATCGAGTTTTAACACAGTGGCTCATATCACCAAGCTTGACGAGGAGATTTGCAGCATTAGACAAGAGGTGAGAGCCAGAAGTCAGTCCCATATTTGCACAACCCTATCTCCTAATAGGTCCTCTTCATGTACTGTCAGTAGGCGCCCGAAGACACGAAATCCCAAGCCTGGACTGTGCTGGCACTATAGACTTTACGGTACCAATGCCCAAAAGCGCACTCACCTTTGCAACTCTTACGCTAAGGCGTGCAAATGCTGTGTAACCTTCTTTTGCAGCTATGACACTGCGTGCCTTCCTCAACTGGGATTTGACACTTAACTCTTTTACAGCGTTATGTTGTTTCCCGCAGTAAGTGACATAAGAGCACCATAAATGCCACCCTGTCCATGAAGGACGGAAAGACATTTCCACCATTGAGGAAGAAGGTCATCAATAGCGAACCCGATCTCTCCGATAGGTTGCTCATTCTCCACCGAGTGGAAGAATCACTGGTCTCCGATCCCAGGGTAATATTCGAACATGACCTTAACTTGGCCAAGATCTCTGTAGTTAATCTGCTGCCAACAACACTATCAAGAGTAAGCATACACAGGCCAAAAGGCTGACTCTACAGTAAATCAGGGAGTACACCTCATAGTCGTACCTAGGTCAAAACAAAGAGAGGAATGCAACACTAAGCAACTTACAAACTCTTAAAGAATCAGGCGTATACGTCCGCGCCGGCTCATGTCCAGCAGACCACGTCAAAAGACAATCTTATGTTCAAGGATTAAGCGAACGGCGAGAAAACCTTAAGTTTAAGGCCTTTCGGGTTGTCAAAAATCGACGTTTGATGACCCTGAAAACTCTGTCAGTAGGCCGCGGAATCACCAAACTTAGTTAACAGTTTGCTACACAAATACCCGCGACCTGTTGAGCAAACGGACTGAGCTGGGTAATATGATATACTCCGGAAATTCGGATGTAATTATCATCATAGTATTATGGTCTACATCCAATGTCACCGATAATGAAGTTAACCTGCCAAACTTCGTAGTGCATAGGGTGGACTGACTAAACCTCAAAGGGTGTGTCTTAGTCAACTATCTCAAAAACCCGTGTGTAGGATCAAATCACTTGCTCACGAAAGTGAGTTGTACAGACTTGTGAGCAGCAGACTAAAATATATAGGGCAATACATTGGCCTAATTGCTATATACTGCAGTGCAGACGACTTCCTAATATAGAAGCCAGGCTCCGACATCGAAATGTCGAAGCCAAGTAGTCGGCGACTTCAGCGCTCCTACAGTTGACTGGACGAGCCTAACAACTCCATCTTCAGTCAACTCCTTTGATCACAAACTGCTGGAATTTAGTATATGGTTAGCCCTAGTCCAACATATCATTAGGTTAACGCGCTATGACTCACAGCACCCTTCCTGAACTCTGGACCTAGTGCTCTTCCACGGATGGAAAACTGAATCCAGGCAGCCAGTCCTTGTCTCACATATTCTAGGAAGGTTTCAAAGGAAGGTGACGTGACTGATTTATCACGCGAGGAAAGAGTGGACAGTTTAAATCTCTTCTCCCTGTCACACCATAGGCAGAGTGGAGACTTGATCACAATATTTAATATTTTAAGAAATGACTACGCACCTGATCTATTCTCTCTTTTCCTTCCTACCAGGTTGGAACACCTTAGAAAACATAGCAGGAGATTTCAAAAGCCAATGCGAAACCAAATTGCTGTAGAGTACTGGTTCTCACACCGAGTCATAAACGCCTGAGACCGATTCCCAGAAGAAGTGGTGTCTGCAACTTCAACTGATTCATTCGAGAAGGGTTTGGTCAAGCACAGAAATTTACAAGAAAGGGATGGTTGAACGATTTCATCGGCCACTTAAAACTGCGCTTGCTGCTTCTCTGACCAAAACTGACTGGTCCACCAACCCCTCGCTGGTACTACTTGGTATTCGACGAACTTTAAAGAAGAAAGACGTCGGATGCTGTGTTTCCGGGTTAGTCTATGGGACGTATGCTACCATGCACATACCATCAAATAGTCTTCAGTACAGAAATGATTATGGTTTTTCTACAGGTCACTATTAATCAGCCGTCTGTCCACAAATGTAACAAAATAATGATGAACAATTCCATATAAGAAGACTGATGGATATGATCAAGATATAAACCATGTATGGCATTACAGAAAAGTGACACTATTGATCTATGTTTTCATTTTCATTCATATAACCAATGCTTTCTCTTTTTACCATGTCATGTAAGGTAACAAGGTTGTTATTATTGTCTCCAATTGACTTGAATTAAATGACTATGTCATAGTTCTGATAAACACGTCAACAACTTTATCTGTTTTCATTAACCTTATCAAGCATATCAGCTTTTTTAGTTATTATAATACATACGCATCTCCTTTAAAATGTAACATGAACTTAAATTAACTTATCACTAAACATATAAACTGGTAACAAGTGTCAGTTCATTAGATTCGTAATCTCCATTCGCTAGTGGCACAGCGATTAGGGCTGTAGTCGACTATGTACATGGTCTAGAGTTCGATCCTCTGCCACCGCACACCTGATATCAATCGTAGGCCTGCAAAATTTGGTCTACCGATATCACATGCTGAAAATCCAGTGCTTGTACCAAAAATGTTGTGTGGAATTTATTTGTTTATTTTAATTTTATTATAGCTTGATTCCACACAGTATTTTGGTAAAAGTATGAAATTTTCAGCGTGTGATATCGGTACCCCAAATTTAGCAGGCCGACCATAGATATCAGGTGTACGTCGGCAGGGGATCGAACCTCGGACCATGTGCATGATCGGCGAGAGTCCTAACCGCTGTGCCACCGACGCACAATCAAGCTATAATCAAAAAAGTATTCACTGTTGCCTATAAATATATACTCATGTATACTTAAATGTGTATTTTTAAGTGCTCTCTGTGTTCTTGCTGATAACAAAGGAGATCAGTGATGTTTAAGTGACAAGTAACTTATAAAACTTACTGGAATAAAGTAGACACATAACATTTAACTAAGTCGATCAGTGAAATCATTTTATTTTTTAGATGTTTTACAGTGAAAATATTCTGCTTACTGTCTTCTTTTATTTCCGTAACAAGTTTATTGAACTATTGACCTCAGTCGTCTTCCTCATCGTCTTCCTCATCTTCTTCTTCTTCCTCCTGACCTGTTTGACTTTCTCCTTCTTCATCTTCTTCTAAAGCTCGTCGTCTGGCTCTTTCCTCTGCAAGTTTTCTGGCTTTTTCTGCCTGTTCATATTTTTTAAACGCAGTGTTCTCAATAATGCTAACTGCATTAGCAATAATCAATTCCGTCTCTTGATTGCGAATTCTATCAGTTGATTTACGTGTTGCTGTGTCTGTGGCTGATTTGATACGGGCTCTTTCAAGAGCTGCCCTGCGAGCTTCTTCAGCGGCTATTTTACGTGCGGTCTTAGGGATTATTGATAGGAAAAACAAAGAAAAGAAGAATCATTTGAAAAGTAGTATGCTCCACACTTAAGTGAAATGTACTCATTTCGGTTAATTGAAATCTTAATCCTGAATAAAAGTCGTACTAAATAAAGAACCAACATTAGTCAGAGGACCAATGAAAACTAGAGAGCACCGAACAACTATTTCTTCCCGCGACTCCATCAAGGATGATACACGAGACCTTGGTTGGTAGTAGCCGTGTATCACCAACTGACAGAGTTAGAATTCAGGAGTCACTGATTTCTGGCTCAAGAGATTAAAAGGTCAGCAAATTGGCCTTGTGACTTGAAGGCCCTGGATTCAATCCACGTCAGGCGCGACGGTGAGCACTATTGACCTAGCCCAGACTAGGACGAAACACAGTCACCGTTTCTGGCTTTCAGTGATTCTCTAACTCATGTTGGTTCGTGAAGAAAGTTACGGTGAAAATAACGGATTAAATCAACACACACACGCACAGATCAAATACTCAACTACAACAACAATAACCTGATGACTCACAAGGAAACTTTTTTGTGCAGACATTGTTTAAAGGGGTTTAAGCACACTGTAGTACTTCGATGTTGAAGAGAGTCATCTACTAAACTGTCTTCAAGGATAATGAATACCTAAGCAGTTTCACCAAAAATGATTTAAACTCGAATCGAAATCATCCTGAAAGACCACAAGAAAATTCATTCAACCATATATATATATATATACCTCTGGAATAACAGCTAGAATACTTAGATCATTTGAAATAAACATAGCATACAAGACAACACAATCACTGCATTCACTATTGTACAGACCAAAGAATTGAATAGCGAGAGAAGATAAGGTCAATACTATTTACAAAATAAATTGCATAAAATGCGATAAATACTAAAGTGGGCAAAGTGGGCATCCCCTTCGACTCCGAGTCAGAGAAAACATTAACTAGTTGTGAAAAGAGACGATATGTGATCTTATATATCAATGCATACAAACAACTACTTACACCAGTTTGACTGGGAAAATGTAGAAATGTTGAACACTAGAAACACCGAAAATGCCAAGAATTTCCAAGAAAGAAGTTCAGCATTCAGACGAATCAGAGATCAGCAGATACATTATAACAGATCAAATGTATCGACTAATAAAGAATAAGCTACATGATAAAAGGCATAGCTCACAGTTAATGCTGATGCAAATTAACAACTAACCAGAACGAAGGTGGTTAGGAGATAAAATTGTATCATTCATGGGGAATTTTGTATTGAAGTTCGCTCTGAAGATGGTGTCTAGAAAGACAAAAAGAAGCTTCTCAATTTAACCAACTATCTCAGCTAACGCAAACGCATAAGTGAAAAGAGATAATATTATCAATAATAAACGGAAAGTTCGATAGTATTAGAAGGATGCCAGAATGAAAGGCAAATGCTGTAAGACATTATGACTAAAACTGTTGAGACGAAGAGGAAAAGAAATGTAAAACATCAAGAAAAAGCAAAATAGTCAGAGGAAAAAAACAATTTGAACAAAGCAAGAATTACAGTTTTAGCAGAATAAAGTGGTATCATCTCTGTGCAAGTATGTTGAAATTGTTTGTGTAGATATATTTAATAACATCTTTGCCCTGTAAGCAGCTGACGAGAAGGCAACGAAATAAAAGGTGGTACCGCTTCGTTCTGCTAAAACTGTATTTTTCAAGTATTGGTTTTGTAGGGATTTTGTTTGATTGCATGGAGGATTTCATTATGAGCTGACATCAGTTAGAGAACCATTGGAAAACCCGGGAGTACTGGACAGCTGTTTCATCATAGTTTGGGACTCATCGTCAGTACGCAGCCACACCACGGGGTTTGAACCCAGGACCTTTTGGTTACAAGGCGAGTTCGTAGACCATTGAGCCACTGGCACCCGATCCAACGGTCCTTGAATTCTAACTTCTGCCAATTCACGACATAGCGCGACCCTTTCGCAATGTCTTCTTCGATGAGTAAGTTACTGCCTCATCTTCAACCTGCTACACCCTACTGGTCACGAGCTCGCCTTGTAACCAGAAGTTCCCGGGCTCGAATCCCAGTGGGTGCGTACTGATGAAGAGTCCCAAACTATGACGAAACAGCTGTCCAGTACTCCCGGGTTTTCCAATGGTTCTCTAACTGATGTCAGCTCATAATGAAATCCTCCATGCAATCAAAACTGTAGTTCTTGCTTTGTTCAAATTCGTTAAGGGGAATAAATGTATAGAAACGACAATCTTGGAGGGGTGTAGAACTATTTGAACAAGGAAATCCGCCAACTCATCAGTTATTTTATACTCAGCCTGTAAATTTTCTCAGTTGTAGATTTTCCATATAATCTTAAAGTTGTTTCCGTTGTGATACTTAAAAGACTCTGACATTTAATTATCTAAATTCGTCTCAAAACAACTATTTAATATGTATCAAAATAGGTTTTGAGAATGAACAGACGGCATTTGGAGCCACCATTAGCGGGCAGTTAATGTCTCACTAGGCTTATTGGTTGCCAGGATGAAATGAATATCATGTGTCTAGTGCTAAGTGTTAGCTCTAACTCAATTCTATCACTCAGGTTTACAGTGTGGTCACCAAGTTACAGGGCTTGCCTTCGTGGTAAACTCTGAACTGATGTTAGGTGGTTCGAGGCAATTAGAAAGCAGAAAGTCCTGGATCAAGGTTTAGTGACTGTTGGCACTCGTTACACTTGTACATATACATTAGACTGATAACTCTCCAAAATCTCCACAAAAGTAGAAAATTTTGAACAGCTTGATAAAGAATGTTAATATCATGATATTCAAAGAATCAATAAATAAATGAATTTACACTTTACGAAGTAATTTCTGAGATATAGACCTGATTTTCTACATGTGCTTTTACATGTCTGTTTGTATTTCTCTCACCCCACTTTATTGATTTATGACCTAATTTCCCCTCACCCCACTCATGCATGACCTTGAGATCTTACCGGTTGTTGACCCTGTTAATTTATCAATGCACTAAGGGCCCATCAAGGTCATTATGTACGTAAGCGCTTTCAATCATTTTCGCTGTAAAACCTAGCCAGGTAATCATTTATTCTTTTCTTCTTGTCTTCTCGTGACGCGTTGTCTGTGGTCTCTTATCGTGTTGTTATTGCTGATGTTGGCTAGAACAATAGGCTCGCGAATCAACTAGGTAGGGAAATTTGTTAGCACAACTACTAAGAGTATTATCGGTCATATCAATTTCAGATATCTGAAAAGATTTATTATTTTAGCTTATTGTAAGGCACAATGAAACTTACGTCTTCATTTGAAAATACTGCACAACAGTAAGAGAATTTCTAAAGTGTTATTACAAATTAATACAGTGAGGAATCTTAACACTACTTGTTTTATTTCGTAAGTGCAACTAAACTACAGATGTATAAATATTTGACTTCGCATATTTTTCATTTTGAAAATCATCAAGTTACGAAGCAAAAAGTGGAGCAGTGAACTTCAAAAACTTCTGAAATAATCTCAACGATATCACAGAAACCTAGAATCACCCCACATTCGTTGACTTTTAACAAACAGACAAATTAACAAAAGGCCTTGTGTTGTTGTTATATACAAAAGTGATAAACTAAAATGTGTACAACCTCGCCTAGTTTACTAATTCTTTAATTTTCTAGCCGGTTCCAAGCCCGAGAAAGGAGGTAAGATTGGGTGTGGGGCTGGCGACTCTACCCAAGAAAATCATCTCAATCGCTAGAGAAACTTCAAAGGACAAGAAGAATACGAAAAATAAAAAAAAACAGATTTGTTTGTCGCTGGAATTGGAGAAACGAAATGATACGGGCTGGCGAAAGCCTTTGCAAAGCCAGTCAGTCAATATGTCTTCTCTTCATAGAAGTGAAAATAAGCGTGGGAACGTGGAACGTTCATATAGTGTACGCAGTTGGGAAGGCTGTTCAAGTTACCAAAAAATGGAAAGATACTGCATCAAAGCGGAGATGTGATGTTGAAATGCGTACATCGATATTCGTGGATAACATTGATTATTGATTATACAATATTGTGAACTTCAGAAAGCTGTAGACATCCGATTCATCTGATTTCAGAAATAACGTAATTACTGTAAAACCTGTGGATGCAAACTACTGACGCGAATGAAACTGAGGTGAAACAGGCATTAACTGCTGATGTAGACCCATAGAACTTAATACTCTATTCGTAAATTACACATTTCCAGTAAAACTTTTGCCACGGTTTCTTTCGAAGATCTCGTGTGTTACTATAATTTGTAAAGAAAAGCAAACTAGACAGAAAACTGGTAAATACTACTAATCAAAATAAATGTTTTAAAACTATTCACGCCAACCAGCAGCACTTTCTAGCCTAATGGGAGTGATAGGAACATCAGAAAGTTGTTTTTATTCCTGCAAGATCAAGCTCATCAATGGTATAGCCTGATCGTTATAGGGATCAGAATTTTTCAATAAAATGTAATCAGTTATTCAACAGAAAAAGAAATACAGAGGATATATAAACATTGAAATAAGAACAAATTAGTTCAGCGAAGTTGTGCGTCGGTGGCATAGCGATTAGGACCCTCGCCGAACATGTACATGGTCCGGGGTTCGATCCCCGGCCGACGCACTGCTTTACCTCGCTAATCCAGTAGAAAGACTGGTAAAGAGGGAAGGTTGGGCATGAGGCTAGCAATCCCATCCCGTAAAAATAAACACTGCTACAGAATCTTCAAGCCTCTAGCTTGGAGCCCTATGTTCCACTGGGAACGTGAAGGAATAAAAAAAAAGTTCAGCGAAGAGTTTCTTTTCGGCGAATTCATTCACTTAGCTGTACAGTCGAAAATATATACAATAATTTTGTGTGTGTGTGTACATTAGGTTTGTCAAAATCAAAATAACAGTTAGTGTGGGTTGTTGATTACATCATCAAAATAATGAAGAAGTTAAAATGTGTGATTAATAATCAAAGTTGTAACTAAGTGGGGTGAAGATTGGTAAGATGTGAGTAGGGTTACGTAATAAAGACATGTTTAGAAAGATTAGATGTTAGTGAAGGAGTATGGTGACAACTAACCCATTCAATCTTTTCACCTATTATCTAGTTTATTTTCATAATTGTCTCCAAACCCCTTCACTAGCATCTAATCTTTCTAAACATGTCTATATTACGTAACCCTACTCACATCTTACCAATCTTCACCCCACTTAGTTACAACTTTGATTATTAATCACACATTTTAACTTCTTCATTATTTTGATGATGTAATCAACAACCCACACTAACTGTTATTTTGATTTTGACAAACCTAATGTACACACACACACAAAATTATTGTATATATTTTCGACTGTACAGCTAAGTGAATGAATTCGCCGAAAAGAAACTCTTCGCTGAACTAATTTGTTCTTATTTCAATGTCTTAATGGATATATAAACAAACAGTGATTAAACTTACATCTAAAGCATCTTGTTCAAGACGTTTAGCCTGTTCAGCAATTACACCAACATTCCATGGTAACTGAACTTGTAGAAGACATTCAACTTGCATTTCAGCAATCTTTCTCTAAAGTGTTAGTTTTGTGCAGAGATAAATAAAAGAATATTATTAATCGGCATTAATATTATCATTTTGATTTTCATATAAAATGTCTATTTATTCAGGTTGGATAACGGTTAATTTTACAATATGCAACAAGATACGTAGATGATACCTTCGTTGTGCTAAAACAAGCTCTACATAGCTCATTCTTGGAGAAACTGAACAATCTATCTCCCAGCAGAATCAGACGCCGGTGAACTAACATTTCTAAACTGCCTAGTTAAGAAGAGGGAAAACGGATATTTTAATACATATCTGTATTCAGGAAGAAAACCCACTCCAACAAATATTTAAATTCTGGGTCATCACACCCCAATCAGCGTAAAGGTATCAGTTGTTTCAAGTCTTCTTAGACTAGCACACTCTTTGATGAAAACGGATGAGAAGGAAAAAGAAGAAGAAATATCAAACATTACTGAAACTGTCAGGTAAAATAACTACCCAAAGGACTTCAACAAAATCAACACTGACATTAAGTATGGTCGGAGATGCATTCCGAAGACATGGGCCTCAATGGTTGTCATTCCAGATTGATCAGAGACGTCAGACGATATCAGAAGAGTACTCAGTAAGCACAACATCAGAGTTTTCGTCAAAACATCAAACACTGCAAAGCAACCTTGTCCATGTAAAAGACCAAATCCCTAAGGATTCTCTGTCTAATTGTGTCCACAAAAATAAAATGCTCGGAGTGTGATGCGATATACATAGGACAAACATCTCGAGAAATCAAAATCAGAAGAAATAAACACCGCAGAACATCTGTTCGACCACCGAGAAATCCAGTTGAACTAGAAAAGCTTGAAAAGTCATCACCTGTAGGTCTACACGCAATAGAATCAGGTTACAGAATTGATTTTGACAATATTAAAATAATCCAGAAATAAAATTTCACAAATCACAAAGAACGTCTAATACCATCAGAAGCACTTCATATCAAGTGGAATCCAAATTGTCTGAATGGTGGAATGATGGACTAAAACAGAATTTGACCTGGTTACAACACCTGTCTCCTCCATGAAGTGAGAAAATCAACACGAATTTGATAAGCGATTTCATTATGTAGACACATGCTGCTTTTATAATTTTCTACACTGATCAAATCCAACAATCTACACATGGTTTTGTTATCTTTACCAATTGGCCAACTTGACAACGTAACAGAATTACCTCCACGCTGATGAACGATGATTAGGTTGTTATATATACGCTGAGTTGATTTTGTAAATTCTGGTTTAATAATACTTTGATAAAGCTATTAGCATTAAGTAGTGAAACGTCAGTAAACACAGAAATATCGTTTTGTTTTTCGTTCAATTGGAAATACAAACACCTTATAATAGTGTAACATGTTGACTAGATGTGAATCATCGTTTAAATAGAAATGGCCAACAAACTTCACCCGTTAGGTTCTTTTAAGAAAAGCAAACTAAAAGTGGTAGTTAATATCCGTTAAGTATCTTGAACTGTATTTTGATTTGACTTTAAGATGCAAATAGACAACCATCACATTGGGGTAGAAATTGGTTTCCGAAGTTGAAAGATCTATGAAAATGAAATGCTTGACATTAAATTTTCTTATGAAATCAGACTGCGTTTTCATACAGTTTTTATCAAAATACTTTATCGTCTTTCCACTAGTTCCTGTCCACTCTACACAATCATATTGGTTAGTCATTTTCTCAAACTTATTAAGTCATCCCAGATTCTGCCCCCTTATCTAATTTCCAATTAGTCACCCCATCTAGGTTACACCTTACATCAGGTAATACGTTTTTCGAGGACAAATTTTACCAGTATCCGACTGGTTTTATGAATTCTTTGTTAAATATAATTACGATTGTACAGCTTATAAAAGTCAGTCATCGAAAAGAAAAGTTCTCTTCGCTGTTTAGGTCTTTTTCTAATGACTCATTATGGGAATATTTCCTTCAAATAAGATATTTTCATTGGACACTAGGTTATAGCTATAATGGCACTCATCTAGATCCTTCGTTTGATGCAGTCAAGTTCTAAATATGGCCACCATTCTAGCTGACTGGTTATCACAATGCACTGAGATATGATGCTGGGTAAACAACTGAGAAAGGACTTACACGTCTACATCAATACGGCATGAATTCTTCTGTTGGCATTCACCAGAAATGCATAATAAAGAAGAATATGAGATATGTAAAAGAGCATAGCTGAAAACGATGGAACTAGTGCCTCCAAAATGGCAAGTGAACTGTGCATATATTAGTGTAAATGAATTTTGTAGCTCTGTTAACACTAATGCCAAGTAAATGTTTCTATATAGTTCAGAGACTTAGCGCATGCGTTAAGACAAAGCATCTCCAAATGGCTACTGAAGACTCTTATCAATAGCTGCCTTAGCTCTATGCTGAAGATAAGGACGTCAGAAATAATAAAACGCAAGGAACTCTCTTCACGAACCAATTAAGAATCTGTCGTTCAACAAATATCTAGAATGAAATAGAGATGGATTGGACTCATATTGAGTGGACAGCTGAGTGACATCATATGAAAGGTAAGCCATCTAGTAGAACCCGAGTGGGAAATGACAAGCTGGGCATGAGTGTGACGGTGGCATGGGAGAGATTACGTGATAACGAGACCAAACCTCCTAAGTAATCGTGCAGCCAGTTGAAATAGCCTACGTGGAAGAGGATGAAGTAGTGATGGGCTTCTGAAAACTACGTACCACGCAGAACCTAAGGGAATAATGATATCAGAGAAATTATTTAATAATTCCCATAGTAGCATTAAGAACAAAATATCCAGCGAAGAGACTCTTTTCAACGAATTTATTATCAAGCTGTACAGTCGCATATATATATATATATATATATATATATATATATATATGGTTTTAAGAAATTAAATCCGGTGAGGGAATTGAACCAAAGGTGTGAATACATTAACTAATAATAGTAGTAGTGTGAAATGCAAATAAAATATTTGTGATTATAATCATAGTTAAATGTCAAGCGGCAGAATAATTAATGTCGTATATAGAGTAATACATAAGGTGTATAGAATTTTGGAAAGGGGTACATAATTATTAGATTAGTAGACGAATATAAAGTGTTACAAAGCATGGTGTGAAACTTGATAAGACAGAATTCAATATTGTAAAAATAAAAATTAATAGTTTTGAGTTTAAAATGTCAAGTGGGTCAAGTGGAAAAGATTCAGAGTGAGAATAATAATAATAATAATCGTAGTAATAAGGGAAAAGTACATAGAATAACTCAATAAACAACTAACTAATTTTTACAGTTGGGTGCCTATTTCCAGGAAAAGGAACTTAATTCATTCGCTCTGCTCTGGGATAAGGAAAATTTGTAGTTCTGATTCCGTTGACTCGGAACTTGACTTCTTAAAAGCCACCCTCGCAGGAAACGGTTACCCTAACCGATTTATTGACAGCAGCATGAGAGATAAGCAGTCTAAACTGGTCACCGACACAGTTCCTAAGAAAACCTTATTCATGAACTTGGAATTCAAAGGTGACCAAGCCTCAGATATGCTCAAAGATCGTCTCTCTAAATCAGTTAGTAAGACGTTCTATGCAGCAAATTACATATTGCGTTCACTAGCCGCAAGTTTTTCTCTACTTCTGTAAAAGATAAGCTCCCCCGTCTGGCAGCCTCCATGTGCATCTGTCAGTTCACCTGCTCTTGTGGAGCAAGGTACAGTGGCCGTAGTCAGAGGACGCTTTCCACGCGGATACGAGAACATAATCCATTATGGTTTTACAAGGGAGAAAGGAAGTTTGTGCGAACCTCTATTTTGGAACACCTGATGGACTTCTGTCACTCTGTCAACCCTGACCATGATTTTAAGATCATATATAGAATCCATGCTAACTTCCCGCATTTTCTTCGTTACAGACTTCTAAAGACAGCTGAGGCCTTGGCAATTCATGACTTTAAGCTAGACCTTTGTGAACAAAAGAAGTATGTACAATCCCTACTTCTGCCTTGACTATAGAGGGATAGACATTTATTTATTTATTTTGTTTATTTAGTTATTCTATGTACTTTTCCCTTATTACTACGATTATTATTATTATTATTCTCACTCTGAATCTTTTCCACTTGACCCACTTGACATTTTAAACTCAAAACTATTAATTTTTATTTTTACAATATTGAATTCTGTCTTATCAAGTTTCACACCATGCTTTGTAACACTTTATATTCGTCTACTAATCTAATAATTATGTACCCCTTTCCAAAATTCTATACACCTTATGTATTACTCTATATACGACATTAATTATTCTGCCGCTTGACATTTAACTATGATTATAATCACAAATATTTTATTTGCATTTCACACTACTACTATTATTAGTTAATGTATTCACACCTTTGGTTCAATTCCCTCACCGGATTTAATTTCTTAATACCATATATATATACGATTGTACAGCTTGATAATAAATTCGTTGAAAAGAGTCTCTTCGCTGAATATTGTGTTCTTAATCAGAGAAATTGACATAAAATTTCAAGAAGAAGGGGAAAAGGCCTCGATGATATCACAAAATTCACCATAACAAGATTTTACCAATTTAGTGAAAAAAAAAACAGGTGAGAAGAGAGAAAAGATCGACAGATAAAGTTACATAGACAGGTCAGATAGATACGTTGGTTCCATTGTTCACATGAACCTTCAGTAGCAAGTACAATAAGAAGGACTGATAGGAGAGCATCTACTAGAGTTTTGAGCATATCTCCAACAATCTTCATGAGGAAATTGGGAAAGTGTTTGGAAAAGTAATCCATAGGCACCTGATTGACATGGTGCATCCAGGACAAATCAGTCAAGCCTTCAAAATAACCAACAGACAGAAATAGCTATGGATACTTTGCTTCACAGAAGCCACCTGCTACCAAATGATTTCAACTCAATTTCTGCATATATAAAGGTAGTGTGATTAATCTCGTAATACCTTGGTAACTAGAAGTCTCTACTATGTTTTTGTGTTAATTTGCTGAGTTACCAGGTTTTGATTACGAGTCACTGAGCTGAAGTCATTATTGGTCCTGCAATTTACTAAATTGTTTCTTGTTGTTTACTTTTTTTTACTTCTACTTCCTATTTCTTTTTGCATTTCCACTCTCTTTTCTCAAATTTTCCGTCACACTGTATGCGAATAAACTCTGGTTGTTGTTATATTATTAACTATCTCTGGTATTCATACCTCTTGCTCTACAACTGTAGCCTTTGAGTTCGAGTGATTTTCGAGTATGTTTTGTTTGTGTTTCTATTACATTTATAATAACTTATGTCATTTTAGGCTGTCAGCAGATGATGATGATGATGAAAAGCAGTGAAATAAAAAGAAAATGAACACTAATTGTCCTGTAAATATGTTCCTTCTCACTTTGATCAGTCTGAATATAATTTAAATCACTAAAATCAACGCACACAGATCAAATACTCAACTATACTAGCAATAATCCAATTACTCACAAACGAAACTGTGTGCAGACATTGTTTAAAAGAGTTCAAACACATTGTAGCACTCCAGAGTTAAAAAGAATGGAAGAAAAATACCTACAAACGGTCTTCAAAAAGAATGGTTATCCACAAAATTTCATCAAAAAGTGTTTAAAGTCGAATCAAAACACCAACAAAGAACCATCATCAAAGACCACAAAAAAATTCATCCTACCATACATGAGAAATATCTCTGAAATAACAGCTAGAATACTGAAACCGTTTGATATAGATATAGCACACAAGCCAGTCAAATCGCTTAATTCGATATTATGCAAACCGAAAGATCCAACAGAAAAAAGGGGATAAAATTAATACCATTTACAAAATAAATTGTATGAACTGCAACAAACATTACATCGGCCAAAGTGGGCGTCCCCTTCGAATCAGAATCCAAGAACACAAATCAGCCGTGAAAAGACACGATATGTATTCTTTAGTATCAATGCATATAGACAATTATGCCCATCAATTTGATTGGGATAATGTCAAGATCTTAGACAGAGGAAACACCAAAAGAGAAGTCAGGGAATTCCTAGAAGCCTGGTACTCAAACGAATATGCAATTAACAAGCACGTTAATATAGACCAAATATACCAACTAAAAATAAATCAGGTGACCAGAAAGTTTAAAATCCAAGTCAATAGAAAATGATCAATATACACATATGTAAAGATGGTTACCAGGAGATGCAGCTATATCACTCATGAAGAAATTTAAATCATTTCACTTTATGCTCAATATTGCGCTGAAGATGTTGTCCAGAAGGACGACGAAAGCTCCGCAACCAAACCAACCAGCTCAGAGAACACTATTAATTGCAAATCATCCCCCTGAGCTACAAATCTTCTCTATTATTTCAGAATCACTAGTCTTATCCTCCATCAAGCAAATTAAAAGATCCAGCAGTTAAGTTTAACTGTCGTTTCACTGCATCTGTATATGTGAAGTTTTGGTGATGGTTAAATTCAGAATCAAAAATGAAGAATGTAATAATGAGGAGTCAACTTACGCGTCTATAATCCCTGACATGCTTTACCCAATAACGTAAGTAATTGGCTAAAAAGTCAATTGGATCTAATGGTTGATATAATAATAGAGAACATAGACCATGATGTAATGGTTCACCAACTACTTGTCTTACATAATCACTTTCTGCATGTAATAAATCTTGACCTTGTTTTACTTGATCCATATATGTGTAGTATCATACATACATTGTAAAGTAGACTTTCAGTGATACACAAAATAAGCAGTTAATGTTGACCAGCTAGCTATTTCTACTGCTTATCGATCTTCAATTTTGAAATATCGAACAATCAGTATTTGTGTGTGTGTGTGTGATTTCAAGTTTCAGCATACACTTTACTTCTACTATGCATGCATCTTATGTCGGCACTATACACTTAGACTCTATTATATGCTATGATTATGCTAGTGAGAACACATATTCAAGATCCTGAATTTATTTGCGAATCAATTGACGAATTTTAAGTTCTTGTTTTGATTTATGTGTATTTTGCAAGCTACTTAGTAAGACTTGAGTAGTAGAATGTGAAATGAGACAAGATGTTACTTTTAGGATTATACTAATGCTTGCAAAACATGATATTCTTGAGTAAAACTGAAACACTAAGTTTGCGAAATATTTACAGATTAAAACGGTTTCTATCCACTACTAGGTTGATTAAAAAATCTCTCGTCACCAGGGTATTCGTGGATTTGGATTCGTTCCCACTACAATTTCAACACAACGATTTACATTCAAGTGTCGATTTACAGGGAGGGATTTGAATGGTTTCAGGATATCATCATGAACTGAGAACGATTTACGACTGATCACTCCTGTCCCAAAACAGTCCTAGTCCACCAGGTGGTCCTAAGCCCGGAAAACACAGGGTCGGGTCGTAGAACAACAACCATGTAGCAAGTGATAATCTGAAGCACAGAAAAAAGCAAATCTATTCTTTTCTGGAATCAGGAACACTCCTCGTTTCAGCGACAGCTGGCAACGCTGGGCGAAAGGCTTCGGGAAACCAGTTGGCCGGTAAGTCTTCCTTTTATGGAACGAGAATTTGTCATTAGGACATAGAATGTCTTCACTATGTTTGAGGCTAACAAGGCTGATTAGATTGCTGAAGAAATGAGAATGAAACTTACGGAATCAGCAAGAGCAAATGGAAAGAAATTGAACACCGACCTTGTGATATAAACAGAAGCCTTGAAGTTCATAAAGTTACTACAAGCCAGTAAAGTAGTGGGACTAGATAAAATCTTTCAAAGAAGCACTGAAAATATATGTGGAGACATCAGCAAACATGCTGACATCATAGGGTGAATAGGGTGTGGTAGCATGGTAAATCATCAGACTGCCAAAAAGGTCTATTCTCATCTTCACTCAAAATGTTAAGCTGCATCAACCTGGAGAAATTAAAAGATCCTTTGGACACAAACTTCCGATCCCAATAAGTTGGATTCCAGAAAAGCAAATCATGTGCCAGTCAAATTTCAGGGCTATACATCACCACAGAACAGAGTATAGAATGGCAGTCGCCTCTTTACTTCCACTTTATTGACTCCGAAAAGACCTTCACCAGTAATTTCACGACTACTTCAACATAATGGAGTGCAGCGAAGTAAGTCATGATGCCGAATACCAAGTCATTCGCAACATAAAGCTCACCGAAGAATTTCGGGTGAAGACACGAGTAAAAAACGACTTCATTCATTTATGGATGACCTTCTGGATTGTGGTGGACTGTATCATACGACAGACCTTAATGGAGTGAGAGGAAAGGTATAACTTGGATTTACTAAAAGACTGTTACAGATCTGGATTTCTCTGACAATTTATGTCACATTTTGCACAAATTCGAAGGTCTAGAAGGGAAGAGGAACAGGTTGGCAGAAGAAGTTGCGAAGACAGTCATTCGTTACTCAAAAACACTGTGGGAATCTGTGGTTTTTAGAAGAAGAGAAAAGATAGGGATTTGTAACACTAATTACAGATCAGTGCTTCTGTATGATTTAGAGACTCAGCACTTCAACAGAAGCATTTCCAGCAGGCTATTGAAGACTTTTATTAACATCAGTTGGCCGGTGAGAATGAATAAGCAACAAGGAACCGCACAAATATGCCGAAGGGAAGGGTGATGAATTAGACACACCCCGAGGAGACTATGAAGTGACATTAAATGCCAGGTCTTCTGGTGCAGTCAGAATAGGAAGCGAATATTTGAACATTGGTTCCAGACTGACATGACGAGATATACGTGAAAAAGAGGTAAAAGGTTGTAATCCAGGTCAAAATGATGGCAGAGAATAGAGTAAGGTGGAGGTGTGCTGCTGAGGTCGTATCTTCCAGTTGGAATGCAGGGAATAATTAGTAAAAATGTTGACTAGGTTCAGTAGACTCAAAAAATTCCATAGATTTATTTCTTTAACTGGAGTTTTATTCAAAAATAGCCCAGTTGTATTACGTACTTCTTTCTCTTCCAGGAGAAACTGAGTTATCCATCAGATAATCAATCGCCTCCATAAATTTTGTTATTACTCCTGATATTGTGAGTTCGTCAGTAAGGATATTACAGATTTCATCAGTACTAACACTAATATGACTCCACATTCAATCTGGCAGTGAATATGTCGTTGGAAAGGATTATAACGTCTTCACAATTAAACTACTTAGTTCCCAGAATAAAACACATCCACCTGAACTATGAATCTTTATTAGTGTAATTTCAAAAAAATCTTACCAGCGACCAACGTATCTGTTAGGAAACTGGAAACTTTTGTCAAAGGCAAACATATATTAGAGTTCAGCGAAGAAAATTCTCTTTTCGACAATTTCATTTTCATAGCTGTATAAGCACAGATATATGAATTACAACAAACAATAACAATCAGTTTTCTTGTGTTTGTGTGTTAAAATTTGTCAGTGAGTGGAAATACTACAGTGTTACAATAATATTGATGCATAGCGTTATGAGTCACCATTGATTAGATAAATGAATGAATAACTAGATAAATAAATAGAGGTCAACCTAAAGTTCAATAATGGATAAGGGTGAAATAAATGATCAGAAAATAAAGTACATTCGGAGAGGTGAATATGTGAACATATTATATGGTGGAGACGACATAGGATGAGTGAAATGTTGTCAAAATAATAGACTAGATAAAATGTTAGAATATGATAACATTAAGTGAAATTAAATAAAAAGAAAGGAAACATGTTATGTGAATTACATGTTAAAATCAAGACCATGGTAATGGAAGAGATTGTACGAATTGTTTTGTGCACAAAGTTCTAGCCTAGTGTTACGTACTTTTTTTTATTACAGCTTGATTCCAAGCCGTATTTTTTGGTATATGTATGGAATTTTCAGCATGTGACATCGGTAGCCCAAATTTTGCAGGCCGACCATAAATATCAGGTGTGCCTCGGCAGGGGATGACGACTTTTAAGTACCTCACTCTAAGTGTCACCTCTAAATTCTAAGTTTAGGTGAAACAATTTTTTACCTACCTTGTCAATCTCTGTATTTCTTCCACGTAATTTGCTACTGGCCTCTACCAAGCGTAGTGGATGCCCGTTCTCAATGAAGTTTATCAACAGCACTATCTTCACTACACATTTTCTGCATCTGTGTTGAGAGAGAACGGATTAGATTCCTTTTCCTGTCTCTGGAGACAAAACTGTAAAAATTGGTCAGTTGTCCTGTCCACGTCGATTTTCTGTTAACAGATCTTTTCAAAGACCCATCAGCTCTCCTTGTGAGTAGCACAACAAGGAAAGACGTTTACCCCTCAGTTTCTTTTTCTAAAGTGAACCGGATACCAGGATGACTGTCACTGAATGCTTTCAGGATATCATCCAAGTTGCAGTTGACGTGTTATCTACGTATTTTTTGTAGAAGTTAAGCCCCTTTTTAGCTCCCCATACTAGCCAACAAGAAGTCTGCCAACAATGGACCAAGTGGCGAACCCATAGCTACTCCATCTCTCTGTCTATAGATTTGATTGTTGAAAAAAATTGGACATCAATGTATGAGTTATGAAAATGAAATTGTCGAAAAGAGAATTTTCTTCGCTGAATTCTTTGTTTTTATGTCTCAATGGAGATTTTTAATTTGATCTATTAGAGTGTTTATAAAACTAAAAAAACAAGCAAACAATAGATGCTCATGAAACAACTTTACCTTACACAAAAGCTTGTTCAGAGAAACAATTTTTATCTTCAAAACACCCTGGGGTAATATCAAATAACTTGAAACTGATTTCACACTATGTAGTGCATAATCACGACAACTTTGAAGACAATGGTCAATACAATGTAAGTGTCTCTTAAAAGTCAGTTGCTCTGTCATGAATACTTTACAAATCAATAATTTTCAAGTGTTGGTTTGTAGGGATTTGTTTGGTTACAGGATTTCCATCATGAGGTGACATTAGTTAGAGAACCACTGGAAAACCTGGGAGTACTGGACAGCTGTTTCGTTCTAGTTTGGGACTCTTCATCAGTACGCACCCACCGGGATTCGAACCCAGGACCTTCTGGTTACAAGGCGAGCTCGTATACCATTAAGCCACTGGGACCCGACCCAATGGCCCATGAATTCTAACTTCTGCCAATTCACGACATAGCGCGACCCCTAGCCAATGTCTTCGGCGAATATTCGTCCTCACACCCGACCTGCTGCACCCTACTGGTCACGACTTCTTACTAGCCCATCTACAGTACATTTTCGATGGGTATCTCTGAAATAATGTTAGTTAGTTTGAAGTAGTCGACAAGAGGCCTTAGAAATAGATTTACTGCTTGCTGGCACTCATTAGCAAGACGTATCTGCAAATCTCGAAGGGATTCATGTTCCCAACGATATTCTAGCTGACATCACCCAGCGTGTTGCTGTAAGGGACGTTACCACTGAGCTATCCGGGATCTATTCATGACATATATATATATATATATATTCGTCACCAAAGATTCCAATTCAGGTCAATGTCTTACGTGTGAAAAACAACACAAATTAACTAACATCGTGATACGACTGCAACTCTACGCATTGTCATCGAACAAAGCATAGAATGACAGTCAAATCTCTACCTCGACTTCATAGACTTCGAAAAAACCTTTGACAGCGTAGACAGAGATGCAGTTTGGAAACTACTTCAACACTATGGTGTACCTGG